TTATATGCATATATTACATTGAACCCAATGGCAACTCTACCTTCATTCAAAACTCACCAGGTCAATCGACACCCTTCTCATTGGTTAATACACTATTCTCCCTCATAGATCATAATCTGATTTGAATGAAACGCAAAATAATCAGTAATTCATTAAAAGTCTAATATAATATAACTTGACGAGTATTTCTCCAAAAATTAATTACAGTATAAGTAATTATCTATACGTTAACCACATTTCGGGTATTGCTTAAAGAATAGATTAGCATTATCTACACATTTCATATGAGTCCTTCATAGACTTAACATTACCCATAGACCTAGCATTACCCATAGAATTAGCATTAGTCCCATAGATTAATGCAATCCCATAGAAATTCATGTTAAAGCGTTCCCATGTTAATCCTGTGGAAGATTCCCCATGTTAAAGTATAGCCATAGACTTAAGCTGTAACATTAGAAAAGAATCGGCGTCCATCATGTGGTACCCTTCGCTCGTAAGCAATTGTTTGATGTGTCGGCCTATTCGGCCTACTTTTAGCTCCTTAGGTCATAAAACATTTGCAAATACAGAATAATTAAAATAAAAATAATTATTCCTTAAACGACGTGCAATACTATATAAGACTTACATTTTTAATAAATTGTCAAAAAATGATAAAAACCATGGATTCTAAGACATGATTACAACGAAATCTATTTGCAACACAACAACACTACAGTATTTTAAATATAGTCGATAACAAATGCACTAATTTTTAAACAAATAAAAAGCACTACTCGTATAACTTAATTAAGAATTCAAATTATAACATTTTATTTACCACTCGTTTATACATAAAAATTATAATAAAGTTTATACGGTATTAAGTTTTATTTATATTAAATAAACAATCATTTGTTTTGTTTAATACACGATTTATTTGATAATTAATATAATTTCAATTATAAATTGGATATAAATTTTATTTAAATCAAATCTAGTTTTCTGTAAATATTAATTAACATTTTTTACACAATCAGAAAATGCAAATCAAACAAAGAGGCAATTGTTGGACGTCTAATCCAATACACAATTTCTTGCTTTTTACACATTTTATTTGTCAAGAATCGTATGAAACTTAGATTCGTATGAAATTTCACAAAAGCAGAAAAAATTAAAAATCCAATTAATGTTTAAATGAATTAAATAAAAGACTATTCTTTTCGAGGATTATAATTAAAAAGAGCAATCATTTTAACAATTCGTTTCAATAATTAAAACTAATTATATGTATAAAAGTTGAAGAAATCGTTTATAAAGTGATAAACTAATGGTTTGGAGGAATGCCTTAATACAAGAAATTGTATAATTTGTGAAAAATATTTATTTAAAGGTTTTAATCAATTGAATAATTTTAATAATAAATTGAAAATTTGTTTTGAAAAATTAAATCTAATCTAAATTTTATTTAACGACCAATTCATTAGATCTAATGACTGGCGCATTGAATACCTCCCGGACCTCGAGCTCCATCTCCATCATCATCGCTATCATAGGCTTCGCTGCGACCATTGCTGCGGTCGTTAGACGGGTCGTAGTCGTGGAGATCTACTTCTTCGGTGTGTTCGTCGTTGAGGTCGATATCAATGGCGTTAATACGTTGCGGAAGAATGGCTTCGAATTGTTTGAGTTGTGCCTCATTTATGAAATGGTTTTCCGGAAATTCCACATTAAATTTGATATAAAGATTTCCTTTTTCAAAGGGATTCCTATAGATAGGCATTCCCTCGCCTTTAACTCCTTTGACAGCTCCGGGAACTATCACTTCTCCGGGTTTACTACGAATTAGGATAAGCCGTCCGTCCAAATGCTTCAGAGTATACGCGAATCCACACAACGCTTCAGTCAAAGAGATGGTTAGCGGCAGAAATAAGTCATTTCCGTTTCGTTGAAACTTTTCGTGAGGTTTCTGTTGAAGGATAATAATCACGTCTCCCGTCTCGATGTCTGGCTGTTGGTCTCCTTCGCCTCTGAAGGTCACTTTCTGTTCGTCTCTCATCCCTTTGTCGACATTCACTTCGAGTATTTTAGTCTCATTCGTGACGCGCTTTCCATTGCATGTGCGGCACCGGTCCCTCTCGTTCACCACTTCTCCCTGACCTCCGCAGTCGTCGCATTGCTTTTGCATTTGTTGAAGCATTCCGGGGCCTAATTGTCGCAAATGAACTTTCATGCCCTGACCCTTACAACCGACGCACTTCACGCGAGAGCCCGGCTTTCCTCCCAACCTATCCAAACACAAGGTTACCAATTAAAACATGTTTAGTGATGAACCACGTGTTCATGTGTTCACTCTCACCCGTCGCACGCTTTACACAACACATTACGGCTTAATTGAAGTTTAGATACTTTTCCGTTGTAAAGGTCTTCGAGCGATACTTTCAATGGATGAATGGTATCCTCTCCTCGTCGACGCCTCCGACCGCCGCCTGATTACCAAAAACGAGTGGTTAGTATTATAAGACAAGTTTACAATCATTTCTAAAGTATCTAAAACAAACCCATTCCTCCGAATCCTCCCAAACCACCGAACAGTCCTCCGCCGCCAAACATTTGCGAGAAAATGTCTTCAGCCGAAGAGAAGCCGCCGCCACCGCCGCCCTCTTGTAATCCTTTGAGTCCGTAGCGGTCGTACACCTCCTTCTTGTTCGGATCCGACAGCACTTCGTAGGCGTAAGAAATCTCTTTGAACTGTAATTAATTCAATCAATTGTCGTTATCATCAATCAGTTTCTTGTGGTAAGTGGCGGTCGATGTATACCTTCTCGGCCTCTGTCTGATCCTGATTCTTGTCGGGATGGTATGTCTTCGCCAGTTTGCGGTATTGCTATACAAACAGATCAATTAGTGTCCATTCAGTCATAAATGAGACCATAATTAAGACAAAAGGTGTTAAACACCGAAAGGTATGTCAAAAGACAATGAAAGGCAAACCTTTTTGATTTCATTGACGGAAGCGTTTCTATTGACCCCTAAGATGTCATACAACTTATTGTCTGCCATTTGTGTCGCCGATTGTCCGCTCGTTTTCAGCACTCAATTCAAAAATATGTTGAAACGGATCCAAAGGAGAAGAAGAGGAAGCGGTGAACAAGTGTTTGGACGAGTGTTTCACTCTTTGGTTCAAATGAAGTGATGATTACTTTCACTGATTTTCAGACGCAATGAAACACTGAATCATTCACTCAATTATGTCTCCAATGCCTGCGATTTGAGTGCAATATATGGCACAAGTCGTGACACCTCTTCGCCAATACTAGCACTAGATTTAAGGCTAACTTTATTCAAAATCCTGTCTTTAATTGAGATATGAATTGATTGTGGATTTGATCTACAAATTCCTTAAACAGTGATTATCTCTCTTTTTCCACAATTTTCTCGTTTGGCTTTAAATGTGATTTGATTTAAACTATTCATTGTTTGCATGAATTTTTACACAATAAAAACAATTATGCTTTTTCTCTAACAAATGCCTTTCCCTTACGAGTGCTTTAAGTTCTAGACTTGTATTCATTTTAGTGCAAGCGTTAAAATATAGTACAATAGAAACTTAATAATTATATATAATATTTCATTGAATACTCGATATTCTTCACACTTAAATACCCGGCGACCATAAACTTTGGTTTGAAAAAATAATTTATGTCTAATTCTAGTGTTAAGTAGAATTCAATGCTAGAAATGTGGATAAATATTGAATTTTTGTGGGTTTTCATGAATTCAAAGGTAATATTCCTGAAAAATTAAATTCAATAAAAACAAGAAATTTTAAGGAATATTTAGTTTTGAAAAATTGAGTAAAACTCGAGACAAAGTGAGAGGAAGAAAGAGAAAGCTTTATTTAAAAAGAGATCCCATTTTACCTTCAGTTCATTGATATATTGATTATCTATTTTAGTGAATCTAAAAGAGTTGGCGATCGCTGACGAGTGAGTCTCTGTCTCGCCTTCACTCGCACTCTCGCAAAGCAAACCTCTATTTTAGTTATCATTCCTAACATCAGTTCTGAGAAGAATTAATACCTTAACAATGAGTTTCATATGAGAGCCATGTTTTGGATACAAAAATGAATGATTGTATTAATCATATAAATAGTTAAATTAGATAAACATAGATTTTATAGGAAAACTTTGGCAGAAAACACTTCCTCTGTGTTTGCAGATATTGAATGAAATAATTTTTATTATAAATGCCATAAATATTGTCTACTTTTAGAATAACCATGTGTACAATTAATTTTGATTCATATTTAGTGCCTATTTTGTTGAGAACTGCTTAAAAGGGTTGAATAGTGTATAGAAATTAGGCCTAAAGTGAATGATTAACTGTAAGAACCGGTGAATTGAACACTCGTTAGTCATTTAGTAATCACCGAAAAATGAATATTAATTTGTAACTGAAAAAAGTGAGACATTTAATGATTAGAAGATTATGTGAAATGTAATGACAGAGAAATGATTAGATGTGTTGAATGCATGGGAGAGGAAGGGAGAGGAAGAGAGACCAACTAAAGTGTGAGAGAGAGGTAGTGATGGCTGCTATCATCAGTACATGACTGGCAATGGTATGAATGGTTGAAATGCTGTGCAAAGAATGCATGGTTTGGTTGGTTGGGAGAAGTGGTTAGTGTTTTGCCATTTGTGCCATTTATTTGCCATTGAGTTCTGTTTGTGGCACAGACTGTGTCGTCGAGTGGCAGAGAGTGGCAGAGAGTTGTCTGTAATGTATAGGTATAGCCAAACAGGATAGGGATAGCAGTGCTGTGGAAGCTCTGAGTGAAGTCACAGTCTCTACGAATCGATGATTTCCACTAAGAGTGGAGTCGTTGTGGACGTCACCCAAAAGCAGATACACACCAGTCATCCACACAACGAATGCTGAACCACTTCAGAGAGTCTTGCAGTCAGTGCTGAGTCTTATGGATGGCACGCCTTGACTGCCGAGCAATCACTACATTCAGTACATTCATGTCATGACTACTTCAATGGCAGCCATCACTGCATTCAGTAACCAAACCATTGAGTGTTTCTCTATAACAGATAATATGCATCGCCTTTAGAGCCTTTGCAGCCATTTTAGCCCCAATAAGACATATATAAGACATGGATTGCATTTGTGGCTCATTTGCACGAGAGATGCGCTCTTCGTCTCAATCATTATTGTATTTCTTGTTTTGATTGCCATTTATTTCCGAATATTATTTTCGTTTATTCTGTTGTGAATTGAATTGCCTTTTGGTTTGTGTCTAACATTTGATTGAAAAACCAAACATTGATTGTATTGTGAAGTGATTGAAGTGATTCTCATTTGACCTCATATTTGATACACATCTTAGAGCATGAATTAGAGGAATGGCTCGAATACCGGTCCCGAAGATGTCATACCCCTGTAGTGAATGTTCATTTGAAGCCCAAAGTGCCCGACAGTTGTCCCGACATAAGGCCGTCACTCACGTGGAGAACGCCTTAAAGTGTGTCCTCTGCCCCTTCGTCACGGTTTGTCACCCATTCATACCATACATACCATTCACACCACAACTTACACCAATTATCTCTATTCTCTTCTCATACCTCTTATCCCCTCTTAAAGGCATATCAAACCAATCTTCTTAGACATCGGCGCGAAGTTCACGGCATTTGTGGCTCAAAAGGTATTTGTTTGACCGCTTTTATCGGCAATCGGTTAACACTTTGTTTTTTTCTCAATTAAAGGTAATAAGAGCTGTAAATTCTGCGGTTTCCTCTCCGAAGACAACGAGACACTGATTCGGCATCAATTGGAAGTACACAGAGATATCCTAAAGTCAGCTCAAGTGAAGTTCGCCAAAGAACTGGTGTCCGCCGGCGGCGAAGAGAGCACTACTGACGGCAACGCTTACGCTTCAAAATACGAACAGAATTACGATTTGAATGAACGACAACTGAATGCGAGTCGAATCGAAGAGGAAGTGAATTCTGCCAACAGATCCCAAGAAGAAGACGATGACGACGAAGACGACGACAAGAACTTCTGGAAGGAGGGCTTTATGGACGACTCGCCCAATCTGTTTATGAATTTGGCTTCGCTTCAGAACGCGTCGAGAGATCAGTTGGAGGCTAACAATTGGTACGTGTCTTCAGGACAGGTGTCTCCGGCGTCTCACGAGAATTCTGTCAGTGATTTGGTTTCTTCGAGCGGAAGCACTCCTCGAGTGTCTAAGAAGAAGATGGCGGCGCCGGCGAGTGTCGGCAGTAATGATGATTTGCCGGCGACTCGTATTCGGCGTCAATACACGTGCAATGATTGCGGATTTCGGACTATAAACCCGCGTGAGTTCCTATACCACAGGCGCGACGCTCACGGACAGCGCCTCAAGATTGTCGAGTGTCCTTATTGTGTGTACGCGTGTCAATACGTTCAGAAACTACAGAGACATTTGCTGTTAGTCCACAAATTGGAGACATCGATGACACCGCCGCCCGAACTGTCGGGCTCTTCGCCCAAATCTAGTAAACCGAAAGCTGTGTCGCAAAACAAATTGCGAGTCACCCCTAAGATCGAGCCACTGGAACCGGTGGCCGATAGCACAGCGCCGCCACCACCGCCTCTTCAGCACAATGTTGTGCCCAAGATTCGGGTCAAACTGCCGACACTGACCTCACCCGCAATGGTGACCACATCACACGTGAATCACACCATTCCGGGTCCCCCGAGAGCTAAGTTAATGTCACAACAAAAGTCGGTTAGCGATCAAAAGCGCAAAATAGCTCTTCAAAGACAAATCTCCGCAAATCAAAGGCGAATGAGTGATCAGAAGTCTATTTTCGCCAAAAAATACCACAAATGCCAGACGTGTGGGTATATGACTAATGTTCAGTACCTCTTCAAGAAGCACATGAAATACCATTCGGCGCCTAAAATAAAGTGCGAAATGTGTGACTTCGAGAGTCCCTACTCTTGGAATGTGGACAGACATGTGAGGAGTCACTACTCCAATGGGCTCTTCAAGTGCACGAAATGCAGTTTTGCCTGCGATAAGAAACAGGGTATTTATTGAGACGTTTTCTATGTTTATTGACTTTTTTATTAAACATTTTCTTATTCATAGCCCTAACCGTTCACATGACTCAACACCACAGAGACAAAGGCAACGGCGAAGCGCCACAACCTGTGGATTCGTTTGAAGCTGATCCCAATCCCACGGATGACATCGTTAAGCAGGAAATTAATTCAACCGTCGAAGAGGAGGGGGAAGTAGACGGCGAATCGTTGGGCCATTTGTTTACACAGAGCATGGAAGAGGGGGGATCGCAGACCAGTCCCATCGCCGCTGCGGCCCGAATGCAGACCACTTTTGTGAGACAAACCGACGGCAAAATAGTGGCAAAACAGGGATCTCTGAAAAAGTGTAAATATTGTAACTTTCAAACCGAAACGTTTGCAAAACTGCAGAAACACGAGAGCGCATATCATCCCGAGAAGAAGTTCCAGTGCCCTCTCTGTGAGATCAAGTTTGAGAACTTGGTTTGGCTTCAGAGACATCTGACACATATGCATCAGGAGGACAGTCAGACCAGTAATATTGTGACCATTTTAGAGCAATTGAATCCTAAGCGTAAGCGAAACAAACCGATTCCATCCACTTCTACACCACTCGCCCAAAGCGTTGCCGAGGTTTTGACTGAAGGCCTATCGAAAGTACAAAACAATCAATCGAAACGAAAACAAGAACAGGAGGACAAGAACCCCACTCAGTGTCAAGTGTGCGGGTATGCCATCCATTGCTATCAAACATTTGACTTATGTTTTAACCATATTTTGATTTAATCTGTTAGTTATCAAACGCGTTGGATATCAGAACTCGAAAAGCATATGAGAGTCCATACAAAAGAGCGGCCATTTTCTTGTCCTTATTGTTCATTTAAGAGCAAATGGAAAGGAGATCTGAATCGACACATTCAGAAATATCACAGTCGACTCCCAATGCCTGACTTGAATCTTATGGAACAGCAAATTCAGTCACAAACTGATGGCAATCATTCACTCGACAATTCAATCGATTGGAATCAAAAACTCATTCAAGAGTTCAGTCACGAGATGTCCGGTGATTACGATAACGACGCCTCCATTCTGTCCGGAGAAGCAGATTATGACGACTATAACGAAGAGATGGAAGAGATCAAAATGGACGACACGCCACTTCCCGATGACTACGAAGAGAGACCCCTTGTCTTTGATGACCTGTCCGATGATAATGAGGACAACGACGAGCACAACAACGGCGACGAAACTGGCGCTCAATTGGGCGACGAAGACGACAACGAGAATGAACTGCAAATTGATTTCGACGACAGAGAAGTGTCGACACCAACAGAGAATACGGCCAACACTCACGAGTCAAACCCGGAAGTGACCAAATCTGGTAAAGTGAAAATGTATCGGTGCTCTTACTGTGACTTCACCTGCAGTACTGCCAGTCGTTTTCACGTGCATTTCGTACAGCATTTGAACACAAAACCATTCCAGTGCTCAGTTTGTGGCCACCGGTCTAACTGGGAATGGGATGTCACGAAACACATTAAGATGAAGTCTCAAAGGGATCCCAAACACGCCGAAGCGAAGGCTATGCTCGTCCACGAGTCGGGAAAGCGTGACTATTCTAAGTATAATAAATACGTGGTTTGGGTCAACCAGAAAGAGGTGATCGCAAACAACACAAGTAATCCAAAGATTGACTTCAGAGCCAAAAGAGCGCGTTTGGAGCCAAACGATGGCATCGAATACGAAGACAACGACACTAACAATCAGACGAATGAAGTGGAGTGCGAAGACGACAACAGTTACAACTGTCCCGATCCCGAAAGTATTGTCATCACTCCTGACATCTGTTTTGAGGTTCAGGGAGAAGAGGACGACGAGTCCAATGCAAACATGGAATACAATCAGGGCTTCAATCCTTCATTTCAACCCAACGTTCCCTACAATTCCAACCCTTCGGTTAACTCTACGCCCGAAGACACGAAACAACTCCAGTGCTCTTACTGTGAATTTAAGCACAAAGAAAGCAAAGTAATGGTGAGTCACTTGAGTAGTCACGCGGGAATGAAGCCGTACCGATGCCGGCGCTGTGGCTTTGACTCCAATTGGCGAGAAGTGGTTGTCCGCCATTGCGTTGCCAGACATCAAAGCAATTCCGAAGACGTCGAACAGAGGTTCAGATGTACTGTAAATAAAACGATGTGTAAAATAATAGACGACAACATAGCGCCCAAAATGATGAGCGCCTCGACATCACATCTTCCCAGTGCTGTTCAGGCTTTCCAAGAGTCGCACCAAAGCGTACGCATCAGTGGTTTTAAAGGAAGTTTTCGCTGCGATTTGTGTCCTTTTAGGGCTGAAAAGGCTTTTCACATGGATTTCCACGTCAAGAGACATCAGCCTTCAAGCGGACCATTCAAATGCCCGCATTGTCCTTATTGGGTGAGTCTCTCTCTCTCTCTCTCTCTCTCTCTCTCTCTCTCTCTCGTTCACTATTTGTGTAATTTTTTAGAAGACATTTTAACCCTTTTAAAAATATTGATGAATTATTAGAAAATATACTAAATATACATTGAATGTGATATTTAGGTCAACGCAAAGAAGTCATTAGTAAAGCACATGCTTTTACACGCAGACAATGAGAATGAGGCCAATAATGAAGACAATAATAAGGATCCTAACAGTCCAATGGCTGACACAGGAATGGATAGCTTTAATGAGAATAACAGTCAAATAGACGACGAGAACGACAGTGAAAGCGAATTAGTCATATATGAGGGCGAAGACAATGGAAATCAGGCTTATCTTAATCAAAGAAATCAGAACCAAATGGCGAGACAGTCGGCCAGTGTTAGTAAAAACCGATGCGATAAATGTCCGTTCATTGCCGGCACTAAAACGCAGCTCTTATACCATAAACAGTTTCACCGCCCAAATAGAAACTCCTCGTATTCTTGTACTCTGTGTACATATTCTGTCAGTTATCTCCATCTCCTGAACCAACACATGAAAGTCCATTACCAGAACGGAGACGACACTCAGGAACCCATTAATTATTGCGAAATCCCTGCCGACGGAGAGGCGGAACAAATGGACGATTCAGATGATAGAGACGAGTCCGACATTCCTTTCACTTGGGTTCAGATCGGAAACAATAGACGAAAACTATTTCAGTGCCGCTTCTGTTCGACAACTTCTAAGAGGAGAACCTATATCTTCGTTCACGAGAGACTCCATTCTCATAACACAAACGAAACGTTTAAGTGTTCCTATTGTGAGTTTGAGACCAGGGATTCCAATCACTTCCTCTATCATCTCAATCAACACAAAACGAAAGCAATTGAAGCACAAAAATCATCGATTGAACCAATCGCTGCCACCGATGAGACCACACCTCCAACGCCTTCAGTCTCAGTCATTGATGTCAATAATATAAGACAAGGAAGTAGAAGAATGTTCTCATATGTTTGTCTGAGTACGTCATGTCATAACTAAATGATACGTTAATTATATGTTTTATTAATTGTATTATTGATTTACTCCTAGACTGTCCCGCGGCCTTCAAAAGTCCGGGAGATTTGAAAATCCACACATCCTTTCATGAGACAGACTATCCTCATCGGTGTCCGTATTGTAACTATAAGTAAGTTATCAATGCATTTGCAAAACACTTGAATCGCTTTATTAATAAATGGTTGCAATTATTTAGAGCGAAAAATAAGCCCCAACTCTGCAAACACCTCTACGTTCACACCACTGAATACATCTCGAAGAGAGCCAACTCTTACCCGTCGGGCACTAAACATCTTGTCGGAGACGCTGTCCTTCACATGAAACGCGATCTCAAATCCCCGCCGAACGACAATTCCCTGTTATTCCGTTGAAAATTTGTGGGGAATTACGAGTATTTTTTGGGATATTTATTTTGAGTCGTTTTCACAACTATTGCATATAAACTAATAAATATATTTTTAGCAACTTTTTCACATAATTAATGAAAATATATTCTAGAAAAGTGTTGTTTCCAAAGTATAAACAATATTTAATTTAATTATAAATTTAATTGTAATAAATAAGAATTTAATGGTTATAAACACGGTCTCAAAAAAATGTTCACCGAGTAAATTATTACACATTTTTAATAAAACATATTTACATTAAATTGAATTGAATCATTTCCATCATATTATTCATACGATACTTTATTATTCAACCCTAATTTGTATATTTAATTTATGGTTAAATCGATACAAAAACCTCAATTTGTGAAGCAATTTATTATATTTGAAAATTGCAATTACAGAGAGATTGGAATAGCATTACTTGTGCCATAGACTTGTACCATAGGTTATCTAAAATTAATTTTATGATTTTTTATTCAAAAATATTTTTAGCCATCACACAATTTTTGACACTAATTTTGGCGATAACTTTGAATGATATTAAGAACTGATTTATGGCTTAGAACTCAATGCTTTAGTGATGTTTAACACGTTTAATAATAGACACTAATTGTCAAATGGATTGACATTTGATGATAAGTACTGAATCAGTAGTACTACTGATGCAGTCTTTTATCGCAAGAAATAGTTGATAATTGGTTTGAATCACACAAACAGTGCTCTCATCTAAAGTATATCAACGATCATATGTTTGATTATTGGACACAATTTGTTGCAATTATTTGATACCAATATTTAGTTAGAATTAGTGTTAGTTTTAAATATTAAATAATGAGTGAAATTGAACCTCATTTTGTGGATCCTCTGGTGTCCTCGGAATCTGTGGTCAATTCTGCTAAAGATGTATGGATTAAAGAGGAAGGCATTGAAAAGATGGCTCAAATGGTTTGCATATTTTATTCAAACATATTAAATATGATATTATTTAACTGATATTACAGTTACTATTAGTATATTTTAAACAATTATCAACTAAAAAGTAAATTATTTACAGGAATAATAAAATTTGTGACTCTATATTGGTTAAATGATTAAATGTTACTAAACTAGTAATTGAAATAAGTTTAAGTTTTAAACTTTAAAACAAAATGCTTTCATTTTACACAAAAACTAGTTGTATAAATTATAAAGTATAATGCTTTAACAGTATTCATTAATATTTGAAATATTTTAATTTAATGCTAGAATATTATTATTATTTATAGTTAAAACATGAAATCGAGAGCAAAAAGTATGGGACGAGTGTTTGGAGGGAACATCCACTCCATCCCAAAGTTGCCGATCAGAAGACTATTGATTGGATTTTTGTTATCGATTCACTAAACTTCTCGTTTTGGCCGAACCCTAACGAGGACTATACCATTGACGGCCACACCGGCTATTGGGCTCTTTGTGCCGCTATTAATAGAGCTATAAGTAAAGGCATTCCTATAACTGATCCACAATTTTACGGAAATATTAATGAAAAGAAGTTCAGAGAAATTTTCGCCACCGATAATGGCATAGAAATGCCATTACTTTTAAAACGATTGGAAGTCTTAAGAGAATCGGGAAGAGTTCTTAATGAGGTTTGAGTTGTTTTTGCCGTATTTGACCAATAGATGAGACACTAAATAAGTGGCTCTTTGTTTCTTATCTATTTAATACCTATTCTTTGAAGTAATCATTTCTACTTAAACCTAGAAATTTGGCTCTAGTTTTGTAAATTGCTTGAAAGAAAGCGAATCGAAAGTAACAAACCTATTGCCGCTAATTGTAAACAATTTTAGTTCATTTCGAGACCAAACTATATATAGAGCACAAAGAGGTGAGACTTTTATTGTAACATAAAATGGACAAACATTTTAATTTGCCAACAAATTTAGTCTCATTTTACAAAAGAGCACAGATTCTGATCGCAGACATTTGGGCCGCTTTTGAAGGACAGGGATTTGGATATTTCCATGATATCGATGTTATCACAATGTTTGCCGATTATAGGTATTGTAATAATAAAATTCAATTGCTTTAAGTCTGAAACCTAAATTAATACCCAAAAGAGTGCCACAAGTGTTGGTATACTTCGATGTCATTGAATACTCGCAACGACTAAAAGATGTGCTAAAAGACGAAAATCATTTGTTTCAAAGCGGAGATGAATTCGAAGTAGAAATAAGGGCCGCGTCTATAGTGGCTGTCCATAGGATTAGCGAACGGATCCGTTCATTGGATACAAAATGTTCAATCAATTCAGTTATCATTGATTTTTATTTATGGGATTTTAGGCGAGAAAATAGTCAACTAATTGAACAGAAAACGCCATTCCATAGAATTCGTGACATTTATTATTGAAATCAATTTATAATTTTATGAAATAAATGGTTGTTTTTATGGGAAATTGATGTTAAATACTTTTTTAATTTATTTATAAATCTTTAGTCAAATATAAGTAAATATATTTCGTGAGACTACTATTCCAGTGCTCTCTTTGCTGTGTTCACTGTGTTTATCATATTTGATACTAAATTAACAAAAATGGGATTATTTTAATATATTTAATTAATAAACATTTAGTTGTCAGGCATTCAATTAATTTCAATGTCAATGTTAAGCAGCAATGCCTTCAACACATGTATTAAAATTAATGTATATATTTTGCCTTAAAATATATGTTATATAAGTTGACCGAAAAAAGGACTTTTAGATCAAAACTATTTGTTATTTATAACATTAATTCAAATGAGTTTCACATTAGAATTAAAAGACGGCTTCTCTTGAAATGAAAGACCTCTTATGGCACCTCTTATGGCACGATCTTATGATTGTTAAGCGGAGTCTTGGTTTCGATGGGAAAGCTGACTGTGCCCTCGCTTTCCAACGATAGGTCAGGCAGTAGTGGCTCTTCTAGTAAAGGATCTAAGAAATAGACATTCATTAGCACTATATTTACTTCAAACAATTGTTGCAGTAATACCTCGAGAGTCATCATTAGCCGTATATGCGTCCAAATCTATGTCATCGAAGAGTGGGTTTGGATTGAATTGAATGACTTCGTTGCCAACTATTTGGTTGTTTGGAAAGTTATTAGCAGACATGTAAGCGTTGGCACTGTTGTCGTCTTCCAGCGAAAATAGCTATCAATTTAGAAAATAATTAAAACTTTTTTTCAATCACTAATAATCACTAAATCTCTGACAAAATTTAATAAAAGAATTTATTCACAAATTTTGAATTGTTTTCAATGATTAGAGCAATAAATTCTTACAATTAATACAAATTCATGTATTAGTGTTACTCTAAAATCTGGGAAAAACTAAACACAAAACAAAACCAAATGCAATAAAACCGAGAATACATTTGTTCAGAGTTTTGAGACGATTGTTGCGAACCTGTTTGAGCCATATATTGTCACTGAGGCCGAAGCCTAAGTCAGTCCTTACCCCCAACAGAGTTGATGTGTCGATATTAATACCAGAGCTCAGCTGATCCTGAAGCCAATCCAACTCCGCATCGATTCCCTCAATGTGTTCATTGAAAGCGCTGTTCGTTTGTAACACATTATTAATAAGTATTAAAACAATTTTAAATAAATATAACGTACTTTGCATTTATAGGTGTAATCATTTGGTCGTTAGCCGTCGAAACCACAAGATCTTTGATTTCATTGGGTTTTATATCGGTTTTCTTCATTTGACTCTCAAACGGATTCTGAAGAGCGGAGGGATTAATCAGTGGTGTTGTCAGAGAACTGTTCAAAAGGTTGTCCACTTGTGAGGTCTCATCAATGATCGGTTGTTCAGATGAATCGACAGCTAAACCGAGTTCTTTAATACTTTCTTGTAGAGGGTCTAAGATATGAAGAGTTGGTATAGATTTGGATGAGTGGGCCATTAGCTCTTCATTGGACGAGTCTGTGTTCAAAACGTTCACTTCAGGGATCAATATGTGTTCCGTCGGTTCGCAGAATTCGCTCAAAGAGGCAGAGGTTGTAGATTGAGGTGATTTTGCGTTCAGCAAACACTCGTCTACATCTGTCACGTCACGAATGAGAGGTCCGTTGGATCGCGGATTCTCTTCAAATTCGTTACGTTTAATCATTTTATTCATGAGCTGTCGGTCTTCCATGTCGTCAATCATGAGCTGAGCCTTCCGTTTAATTCCTAAATTTCCGCGATTTTGTACTAAAGACACGAAAAACTGTATCAATTTTGCGACCACTTGTTCCTGTTTGTGATGCTTTTGTCTCAGAATCGCAATCTCTCTCCAAAGGGCCTCATTCTCCCTCTGCATCGTTGATAAAAGTCCGTCCATTGATCCCTGTTTTCCTTTGATATTCTCCACGTCTTCTAACATTCCCGACACGTCTTCCTGTTTCAGTCCCACAGCTGATCCAGTCTTTCCAATAGGTAACTGTTGATGAGACTTAAAATATGGTTAAAAATGCTGTCCAATCATAATATGTATCACATATTCATTGTGTTTATCACTTCAAATACAAGTACAGACGCAGAAGCGGATCATTTTCAAGCAATAATTACAATAAAAAGTGAAATGATATTCAAATTACAAAATAAAATAAAAACATAATATAAATACTTTTAGAGAGACCTTTCTCTTAATAAATTCCAATTGGGATTCGTTTCCCTTCGAGAAGTGGATGTGAGAGAACTCGATGTCATCGCGTTCTGCCCGAAGACCGCTGTTTTCAATGTTTGATATTTTGCGAAATCCATCTGAAATTAGTGTCAATTCAAGTCAATTATTCAATGCATTTAATAATATGGTATATAAAAAGGCAATCAATTCATACACATATTTAGTTGTCTTATAAATGAAGCCATATTTGAATGTTTGAAGTAAAGAGGAAGGAGTTCTTTGGCAAACTTCGACTGATCGTGAATTATAAAACTGCGGCCATTCTGTCAAATAATCAGTTCATTTGTAAAATACATTTTATATTTAAAAAATTGCAACATTTTTGATAAATACAACATTTTTGTCGATTAAATATTGTTTCAAAACTACATAATTTAAATTTAACTCATATATACTCGATTACATGTTATACTCAATTAAAAAGCAATATTCTTAAAGTGCAAAACAATTAATGCATGAAATTATGATCAAAACAACATTTGAATGAAACATCTCAAGGATTAATAATTGGTGTCCATTACAGCCCTTAGGATTTGAAAAAATAATTCAAAATCCATTCAAATAACTTATACTAATCTACAACTTATTGTTAGATATCAATATATAATATATTGTATATTATTCTCATAGGATTAACATTAATTCTTAAAATATGCGCCCGAGTAATTTAAAGGGCGAGAGGGAGGGCGAGTAAATTTCTATTGCTATTCATTACTGATAATAAATTATCATTAATTGACAATACATTGTTTGAACAAATTATTACATTTTTAATTTACAAAACTATTTGCGAATATTTGAACATTACTGTTATATAACGTTAAGCAATAATAAAATGCATTTATATATTAATAGTAATGCATTATACAATAGACGTGACCACTGGAGTCGTTATTATTACATAAGTATCTGCTTTATTGCATAACATATTAATTGAAGCCAAGCCTGACATCGTGTCCAATAAACGTGACTAATGTTCGCAAATCAATGTCTATTATGTAATGCAGTTATAGCTTAAGACTATTGTAGACTTCAATAGACAATAATTGTGACTCTTTTGTGTCTTTCATTATCTTTTACTATATTTTTGGTCACTATTTCTCACTGTATTTCACATTCAATACTCTTTCGCTATAAATGCTATCAATATATGAGACAAACATTAAAAACACTAAAAAACATGAATTTAAATAAATTGTAAACAATTATAAAACAAAAATAAATGCAATAATTAATTAAAAGTATAAATACTTTTCAAAACTATTGGCAAAAACATTGAAATGTTTGACGAAATGGGAGTAGAAATGAGTGCATAAAAAGAGTACACTATTTATGGCAATCAATGGATCAGTTGTCGGCCATCTCTGACACAAACAACTGAAGCACAACTCAATTGTCACCGCATTTGGCAATCATTATGTGATAATGACTGAAGACATGGTAATCATTGTCCACAAACCTGATTCCATTGGATCAGATGGTCGTAATGGTTGTCCTCCACTAATCGCCACAATTTGGTGATAAAGGCTGGAACTGTATTACCACAGCTGTTGTCCATCGTATGCATTGTCGACACCACCTATTGCTGAAGAGAGCGGATCCGATGCGATCTCATGTGAGGTCTAGTCTCGAGTCAAGTGTTGTTTTTGGTGACCAATGAATGGCTTATTATAGCAAACACTCAAAGCATTGAAACATTCATTTCATTCACTCTTCAATCATAACAACAAAACGTCATATAATTGTCGCCACAATAATAACGACTGCTTTTGTTTTGCACTTTAATTACATGTCATATAAATTGTACACAATTTAGGACTCAAATCACATGATATTGTTGTACAGAAAATTATGATTAATATTAATATATTAGAAATGTATTGAATTTATGCACAAATTTGTTGTGAAATTATAGTTAAAAATGATTAATAAATTTCACATAAAATAATCCGTAATTTATTTAATAAAAAGTTTTAAAACCATTCAAAATGTTTAATATTACGTAAGAGTTGTGAAATAATTGCAGTGGTGTTTACCGACTGATTGAGTGGGTCTTCACTGCCATACAAATTGTGTTAAACTGTGCGTAAAGTGATTGATAGTTTGTGGGCCATTGACTACGGGGTGAACACCACTCGACACAACACATGCTTTGAATGAAACGATGAAAACAATGAGTTGTTTGAAGACAACGAGTGTTTGAATTTGTGGTCACTTTTATTGATCACCGCTTTTGTGGCCAACACTCGCGACCACGCGATGGGAATCCGAGGCCTCAAGAGTTTCATCGAGAATAACAGCGATCTGTTGTCGAGACATCACTTGCACGACACGTGTCTTGTGATCGATGGCAACAATTTGATGAACTCGTTGTACTTCCAGTCGAGCCGTGTCTCCAAAGACCACATCTATGGCGGAGATTACAGTCGATTCGCGGCCTCTCTCTACCAGTTCTTCAAGTCGTTGGACAAGTGTCTGATCCGTGCGGTTGTCGTCTTTGACGGCGGTATCGATCCGTCGCAGCAGAAAATGAAGACAATTGTGGATCGATTCCAGAAGAAGCTAAAGGCGACCAAAGAGATAGCGAGAGGAGGTCTTTGCGACGACAGAATCCTACCATCGCTTTGCAAAGAGCTCTTTCTGGAACTGCTGTCGGATCTCAACATCTGTCACCTGCAGGCCTCGTACGAAGCGGACGCCTGTATCGCAAAGATCGCCAATTGTCTCAACTGTCCCGTACTGTCCAACGACAGCGACTTCTTTGTCTTTGATCTCAAGTTTGGTGTCATTTCCATCGATTCACTCATACATCCGCTGTTTGTGAAGACGTATTGTGACGACAACGACAAGAGCTATACGTATAAGTATTTGGATTGCAATCTGTTTCTTATCGAAAACCTCATCGAATATTTTCCGGGTCTTAAGCGAGACATTCTTCCGCTGTTCAGCACATTAATGGGCAACGATTGGGTCGAGCCGTACGTCTTCGACAACGTATTCAACGCCATTCCCGAAGTGACCGCTAAGAGTCGTCGCAACAAAAGATCATTACATGTCGGCAAAAGACACCACCGAATGGTTAAACTCTTGAATTGGTTAAGAGAGAGGACAGTGAAAAAGTCGATCGACTTTCTCATCAAATTTCTGAAGGAGAACTCCAGAAGCAATGCCTTATCATTACTGGAGATGTCTCTCGAGAACTATTCAAATGAGTCGCCGATTACATTGAATTGCGGACAAACCGTGGATTTGTCGCAATTGTATTTACTTCTGCCAAACGCTGACCTTAGCGACGGCGTTACCAAACAGCTGCTCAAAGTGTCTAGTGTTGACTACCGGAGTAAGTACTTGCGTTAGTTTAACTTTACGCAAAAGGATTTGGGAGCGCAGCTTCTGAAAAGGGAAGACAGGAGCTATTCGTGCGCTTTTGAATTGAGACAATATTTGATCGCTTTGTTAAGACTCAACGACAAAGACATTGATCCCATAACAATGTATACTCGTGTCGGAAACCAAATGTCTGGCTTTCAATTAGAGCCGCAACTCTTGACGCCAAACAATTTACTTGTTTTACCGAATTTGCATCAATTGAGAGATATATCTATTGACGAGCGAAGAGTTTTACTCTCAGACATTCTCTCCATTAACGAAGAATTGTACAAAAAATTCAAACATCAGTTCGTTTGCGACGATTGTATCCTTGAGTACAAAAATAGTGACATAAATGGAGCCGTTTTTCTCATGATTGCAATGAAATATTGGATCAGTAAAAGCTGTCACCAGATATGGTCTGAATTTTATGTGCGTAACGAGTGTTCATAATATAAAACGCCTATAAAACTAAGCATATGCTTTTGTTTTAAATAAAACAAACTGTTTTTCGTTTAGTTGCTTAGCTATTTTGTCAACAGCTTTATGTTATCGGGTCCGATTCATAATTCGGCGAAACTATTTCAGCCCCGAATCGTCCACTTCTACAATGAGTTGCAGGACTGCATACGAGTGATCCGATGGCTCAACACATTGCTGGGCCAGCCCTACGAGATGGGCGCCCCCTTCTTCGCACTCAACGGACCCTTCATTTACAATCTAACCGTAGAGTTGTCTTCGCGTAAGGATCCGGTCCTCTATCTGTCGCAACTGTTTGGTCGCCAGTCGTTGGCCACCAATATATTCGAAAGACTGTTGAGTTTAACCCAAGAGGACGTCGACTGTTTCTTCAAACAGGCGACAAACCTTCACTGGTGTTCTTTCTGAGTGTAGGTCCCATACTCTCCGAGATTCTTCAGCTTTTCAAACCCGTTCTTAAAACTCTTATCTAAGAGACGCGAATGTCAGTTTGATAATTGACAACATTTTGTGTCCTTTTTGTGATTTTTAATACAAATTATTCATTATATAAAGTTGAATTAAAATTCATTGAATCTAATTATTGTTATAAATTATAACTAATTCTTTATAAAGATTGTACTTATTTTGGCACAAATAATTGCTCACAATTGTATAAATTATATAACTATTATGTAATTTTGTGATTAAACAGATGATCAATAAAATAAATAGTGAGATTATATTGAAATATTGGGTCAATTGAAATATCTTACCCAACTCGAGAAGTTGCTATATAAATAGAATTAAGGGTTAGATTATTCCAATTGATATTCTTAAGCACAAAAACCGAGTTTTTGAACAATTGTATTTTTATATTTCATTCAATTTAAACAATTGTTATTGTCAGACATAGGGTGACCAGATGAATTTAGCCAAATTCTGGATTTTGACTATAAATCTATATTAAAATCCTGGATTCCTGGACTTTTATTTACTTTGAATTAATTTGTCCTGGACACCTTCATAGACGTAATGTGCAAAATATTTTGCAAATTCTGGACATACTACCTAATTTCTGGACAATCCAGGCCATTTCTGGACATCTGGTCACCCTAGTCAGACAAACTATTTCTATGGGACATTTTTCTGTATTTATCATTGGGTAAGATTCATTAAAAGGTATCATGCTCAAATATCAATAGACATAACCGTAATATAAAACTCTTTTGAACATTTCTTTATGAATTAGATCTGATCGCATAAAAGAGCAGAAAAAGAGCATTCTAAATTTATATGATGTGTGCTATATTATAAAAGCCTGAGCCCATACACTATAGTGACTATACTTATTGCACAAATTCTTTTATAGAATACATAATACATAAATATTTATAGATAAGCAAGGTACATCATACATAATGTGTAGGTAAAAATGTAAAATTAGATTGTTGAATTCTTGATTCTTGAGTTAGAATTTGTCGCAGCCACTAAATAATCTTAGATTTACATTCAATTTAATATTTATTTGTTTATTTAAATATAAGAATTTATAACAATTATCTTAAATTTGTGCGCTTTTAATAACAATAATTTATTTAACAAAAAATCTATGTTTTGTTATTCAATTATCTTAAACAGCTAATTATGTCATTTTACATAATTTCAATTCCGTAATTAATACTGGTTTTCAAAACTAACTAACTATCGATAATCACGAATGTTAGTCACGGCCGTTACCACCAATCGTTGAGTTTGAAAGAGCGGTTCCCGTTGTCCTGTTTGTGTAATTTGTGGCAAAGTTGGCAAAAGTCTTTCCTGTCGTAACTGATCCGATGGTTGCGTTTCCACTCAAAGAATTGTTTATACTTTTGGAAATCAGTTCCGATGTCTAACACATAGTCTGCGAGATCTTTAGCTGAAGTGAAGTCATTCGTATTGATCACAGAATTTGGCGAAATTATACGCGAGTAGTCGCCGGCGCCCAACACTATTGGGATTATACTGTACTCCAAATACCGGTGCAAACGTTTGCTGACAAAGTCTTTGCACGAACTCTCGTATACAAATGCAAACAGATATTTGTCTGACAGAGTCTTCAGCTCTGTTTCGTCGCCAGAATCGACGGCATCGCTATTATCGGCGCATTTGTTGTGCACATCGATATCAATATAGCTCTTTAACTCATTGATGTAGTCGTTCTCCTGTCCATAGTTTTTGTGGCAATCGGTTTGAACCGATAAAATCATTTTCGTTTTCTTTCTCCAGTCGTAGAAGATATCCGACACTTTGAAGAATTGGTTGTCTTCGGGGTTGAGTTGTTCCACATTAACCGCATTGTATATGATATCCGAGTCCGGCCTATAAGTCCAGCTCCAGTTGATGCGGTCACTGTCACTTAACTCTAGAAGGACTCGCGATTTGACACCGCTTAGCAGCGATTTCTTATAGGTAAAGACTACAGACCCAGATTGCCGACCGCCAAATACACAGCCGTTTACAGCTCGTGAAAACACAATGGCATCGCTTTTATCCAATAATGACTTATTTGTCACAAAAACACATTTATTAGTCACACATTTCCCGTCAATGAATGCCTGATTGCCTTCTTTTACTGATTCATCAATCGGTGTCCACAACAGAATTGTCTTAAACTCTTTCCCGTTTGTCATTTCTCCAGAATTTCTTGTTTGCATAATGGGATTAATTGTCCCAATATTTACCTGTGGTTCCGGCGCTTTGGCTTCATTTTGGTTCATTTCAATTGGCTTTTCATTCAAGTTTTGATTAGTTTCTGCGCTATTCTTAGAAAAGTCATCTTTCTTTTCAATTGGCTCTTCTTTGGGCTCTTCTTTACGCTCTGTTTCTGGCATTTGATTCATGAATTGCCTTTCAATGTCTTCGTTGTGATGCGGATTCATGTGTTCGGGATTGTAGTCCGGATTGTGTTCGGGATTGTAGTCCGGATTGTGTTCGGGATTGTAGTCCGGATTGTGTTCGGGATTGTAGTCCGGATTATGTTCGGGATTCATCTCTTCAGCTCTGTCCTCAAATGGATTCGCATGTCTTCGCCGTCTGTGTGGGGGCTCGCGATGTCTATTATTCAATCGCTCGATATCTAAATATTAACAAAAATTAATTTATTTACACAAAAACTAATTTGTAAAATACAGACGCTCTCGAATGGCATCTCCCGGATCGTAATGTCCTCGCGATCTGTCGTGAAAGTTAGGTCTACCGTCCCGTCCGGGGAATCCGTGTCCCGGATAGCCTCCACCATAACCTCCCGGCACTCCATTTTGATAACCTCCCGGATAAGCGCCGGGAAATTGACCGGGAATTCCCGATATGGGAACTCCCATATGATTGAATTGGATGTTTGAGTTGTCGTCTGATTTAAATTTACTGCTATTATTGAAGAGGTAAAGACCGGACGGAATCATGAGAAGAACGAAAAACATTTTTACTTTCTGTTGAAACGAGAGATTCTGAAGATCGGCGTTGTCTTCGACGGTCTCTTTGTTGACCACAACCGATGATCCGCTCTTTGCCTGAGAGAAGAGCTGTGAGAAATCCTGATCCCCTAATCGTATAGTCTGTGTCGTGGTTTTGATTGGTTTACTCGAACTCATCATAACTTTCATACTTTTATTCTTTTTGATTGAAGAGGAAGTGTGCGAATGAAGTGAAGATAGAGTTGGCAAACAATTGGGTCGATGCTTAACACCTGCGCCCGATTTGCGTCTTCTGACGGCACTCTCATTGCTAGTCAATGGAGAACTGTTTGAAAGCATTTAGAGATTTTTGTTTTGTCAAAATAGCTTCACTACCATATATACAGTATATTTAATTCATAGGAAATATAAATATATCAATTTAAATGATGAATGATATGCGAGAGTATCAGTGCTTAACGTAAATCACAAATATATTACTCTAACTCACGCAACAAGTCTATCATCTCTCGATTCTTGTGTTTTATATCGTCAAGAGATTTGACTTTACGACCGCTGCCTCTGATGTCAATTCAATACTCTATTTAATGTTTCGATCGTTATATCGCTTATGAGTTACTAAACAACACTTTTTCGATATAACTGTTGTATAGAAATAATAATTTCCACGGAAACCAAAGTGTGTTTTTATTAATAAAACTAATGTTTTCATGTCATAAGTAAATTCTTTAATTTACTTATTATTCAATACAACACTCGCTTTCTATTATGTTAACTTAACAATTCTCTCTCTCTCTCTCTCTCTCTCTCTCTCTCTCTCTCTTATTGCAACCAAATTAATGCCAGATATTTCACAAAGAATTAAATTATTTATATTTTGAAATGATTTTATGTTTATCTCAATTGAATGAAAGGGAATATTAATATCTTAATTGAATGCATAAAACCATTTAGTTTTGTTATTACACTAATATTGTACTATGAGTTCTTCAATTATAAATGACAGATAAAACTATAACTTTTAGGGATGGGGTTCAGGGTCTTCCTCTATCATATATTAATAACAAGCGATGACTAGTTATAAAATGTATGAAATTGACAGTTAATCTGCTATATTCTCAATGGATTGTAATTAAGTTAATATTAATGATAAAACGATTGAATTATAGCGATCTATAATACAAGTGTTTATTTAGTTTAATCAAACAAATTGCCAAAATCTTTGCACAAATACATAACACATAACAAAGATTTGCAGTGAAATGATTGCAAATTGTGAGGAATTGGATCGCGTGATGACAAACGACTAAATAATATTAAAATAAATTTCATATATTTTATTTCACACGTTATGCGTTAAAGCAATTGTTTTCGTCATTACTTCTGTCACTTCATCCGTCTCTCACTCTCTTATTGCAACCAAATTAATGCCAGATATTTGACAAAGAATTAAATTATTTATATTTTGAAATAATTTTATGTTTATTTTAATTAAATGAAAGGGAATATTAATATCTTAATTGAATGCATAAAAACGATTTAGTCTTGTTATTACTATGAGTTCTTCAATTATAATTTATAAATGACAGATAAAACGATAACTTTTAGGGATGGGGTTCAGGGTCTTCCTCTATCATATATTAATAACAAGCGATGACTAGATATGTATGAAATTGACAGTTAATTTACTATATTCTCAATGTATTGTAATTAATATTAATGATAAAACGATTGAATTATAGCGATCTATAATACAAGTGTTTATTTAGTTTAATCAAACAAATTGCTAAAATCTTTGCACAAATACATAACACATAACAAAGATTTGCAGTGAAATGATTGCAAATTGTGAGGAATTGGATCGCGTGATGACAAACGACTAAATAATATTAAAATAAATTTCATATATTTTATTGATTTTTCTTGTTTTTATACCTTTTTATATATAAAGAGCTGAACTAATGGCACAAATATATATTGCAATCACTGATTGATGTAATATTGCTTTAATATAGAAAACTATAGCTTTAATAAAAGGCTATTTATAATTCTGGTTATATTACTAACATTCATAATAGCTTTATTTAATATATTACTTGATCTAATGCTCCCATTATTATAGCTAAGGTCGAGAGCGAGAGCGAGAGCGAGAGAGAGAGAGAGAGAGAGAGAGAGAGAGAG